TTCTGTTTCTACTTCGATTCTGTTTAATGACTCATTTTTCATAAATTGGGGTATGGTGGAAGGAGTGCCCCACAAAAACAACAGGGGCCCCCCCCCCCCCCCCCCCCCCCCCGGCCTACACGTTTTATACTAACAAATGTCTGTTACTTGGATGAAACCATTTAAAGTTGGTTTCTTCTCGTGTCTTAGTGAAAAGTCCGCTGCTTTCTTCTTCAACCCGGATCCAAACGTTGAACTTGCAACACTCAAACGTCGTCTTTGTGTCTTCAGGTTTGTCTCAGAGCCTGGAGTCGGTCTTAGGTGGATCTCGACCCCGACCTCAAATGGTCGTGGGTTTCCGAATGGATCAGCAAGGCAGACTCTTGCTTCCTGGGATGGCGGCTCACAGCGGGCTGATTCAGCAGGACCCTCGGCGCTTCAGCGAGGCCGGCCTCGCTCCCCCTCCTCGGCCTCCGCCCCTCAACGTCAAACGCCTGAACTTGAAAGCCCAAAGGAAACCCCTAGTCCTGCCGACCTCAGGCCCCACATGGTCTCCTCAAATAGTCTTATCCCCTCAAGGACAGACACAACCTCAGCATCAGTTCTTACCTCCTCAAGGCGCCTTCGGGTCCAACCTGGTTAAAATGTCCCAAATGGCTCGTTCTACGCCACAGCTGGACGACGACACCAAGGACAGGGATCGAGAGCGGACAAGGGAGCGGGAGAAAACTTACTACGCCCAAAACGCCAAGGAGAGCTTCGTTGCACAGGTGGGATACAGCTTTTAGTTATTTTACTGTTCAAGGTGCACGTTCCAGCGTGAACCGAGGACGCAGCGACACCGTGATATGGGGGTCGTGGTTTGGTGCAACAGAAAAGAGACGCATGTTAAATGCTAGAGTTCTTGAAGTTCATTGGTTGTTTCGTACCGTGACAACCGCTGTTTGAAACCCGACTAACATGTGGTTCTGCTCAGGTGATGGAGGCCGTACACGGAGTGACCACCGAGGAGGTCCAAAGTGCACTTCAGCGTAACGAGTGGAACCCGGTGCGGGCCGAGCAACAACTCAAGGTCAGGCCACAGAAGTAGAACTGTAAAACTGACGGAGCCGGAACCGTTGTAGTGTTAGCTAAGGTCCATTAGCTGCGGCGCCATCTTGAATTGAACTGACTCTGAAGTTAATCCGTTGTGGATGTTTGTCCGGTGAAAGTTCCGTTAAGTCCGTCCGGTGATCTGAGAGATTTTTGCCAACACTACGGACAAACATGTTTGAAAGACAAACATAAGTTAAAATTACCAACAAAATGTCCACCTGTCCATTGATCCAGTTATTAACAGATATTCAGCTACTGTATTTATAGGAGGTGCTTTTTAAAGTAGTTTGAAGGCTCTTATGGAAACGTTAAATTCAACTGGCGGTCTGGGGGCCAAATCAGGCCCACGGATGAACTCAGTTCTGTCCACCAATGGGTTCATTTTTAAATAAAACTAGATTTTAAACCATAAAACAAACTAACTTAATGACAATAACTGCTGGATGTCCGACCCCTGAACAGTTTAGTTGAATAGCTCTGGTTTAAACTCTTAGGAAGCAAATGACCCAACAGTTACTTGACTTTTGTTGAATTGTGCCTCTGAAGAAATATGTTTTCATAAGTCAAACTAAACCAGAGGTTTCCCAATCCTGGCCCTCGAGGGCCACCGTCCTGCATATTTGAGATGTTTCACTGATCCAACACACCTGGTTTGAATGAATCTCGTGTGTTGGAGCAGGAAACATCTAAAGCATGCAGGACAGTGGCCCTCAAGTATGAAGATAAGTGTGTCTCAAAAGCAGTCACACATGCGTACCACAAGTTTTATAAATGCATAAAAAGTTTTTTAAACGTATACAATAGTCCCTCGCTACTTTGCGGTTCATTTATTGCAGACTCGCTCTATCGCGGTTTTTCAGAATAAGATTGGACATGACACATAATGGCTGATTGATGGATGAGCCGTACGATCAGCATGGAATTTTTATTTTAAATAAATTGTTTTAAATGATTTGGCACCTCCTGCACCTCTGTGCAGCTCACACTGCAGGATAAGCTTCCTCCTGCAGCTGATCAGCTGTTCTCTGTGCAGAGCGGAGAAGTGGGCGTGGCCAAGAGCAGCAGAGGCAGAGGGCTGAAATCATGACATGCTGTGCTCTTTTAGAGTTTAGAAACATTGTTTAGAATATTGCAAGAGTGTGGGAAAGGTTTAAAACACCTTAATATAGATACATACATACACACACACACACATATATATATATATATATATATATATATATATATATATATATATATATACACTAAAATAAACTACTACTTACTACTTGTACTACTATTCCTACTTCGCAGTTTTTCACTTATCGTGGGGCTTCAGGGTACGGATCGCCCGCGAAAAACGAGGGACTACTGTATATTTAAAATTGTACAAATACTCAGCTATTGGGAAAATATACTTCTCTAACTTGGCACTGTAGCTCATAACCCGTATATTAAAACATGCTAATACAGAGTCCAAAAACATTAATTTTGTGAATCGTATCATTAAAATTAAACACTAAAATGAGCAGATTATTCTTCATGTGGAATATTAATCAGGAAAATTGTATTTTCACAGAAGTTTTTCCACAAGAACAACCGAACCATGTTTGGTGTTTATTTCAGCTGTACAGTCCACAAAAATTTACATTTTCTTTTTGTGGAAAAACTACCAGAAATATATTTTCTTGTAATTTTTGCAGCAGAAATAAATACAAGAAAATGTATTTTTCCTGTAGTTTTTGCAGAGGAAGAATAGCCTAACCTTTTTGAGTAGTTCATTTCAAATGTACAATTCACACAAAAGTACCGAATTATATTTTTCCGGTAGTTTTTCCCCACAAGAAGAAAATCTTAATTTGTGGACTGTGCAGCTGAAATAAACATAAAAAATGGGTAAGTTATTCTTCTTGTGGAAAAACTACCAAAATAATATATTTTTTCAGTATATTTATATTTTCCTGATAAATATTCCACATGAAGAATAACCTGCTCGTTTTAGGTTAATTTTAACCGTACGGTGTGCAGCAGGTTATTTTGTGCACGTGTATTTGACCATTTGTATTTCCTACTTGTGCAAATTTAAATGTTTACATATTAAGAACTGTTGATGCGTTTGTGAATCTTGTAGTACGCACTTGTACAGTACCTTGCAAAAGTATTCGGCCCCCTTGAACTTTTCAACCTTTTGCCACATTTCAGACTTCGAACATAAAGATATAAAATTTTAATTTTTTGGTGAAGAATCAACAACAAGTGGGACACAATCGTGAAGTGGAATGAAATTTTCAGTTTTTTATTTGTTAAAAAAGTTTGACACATCCAATAAATTTCTTTTGTTCTTCACAAAAAAATAAAAATTTTATGTCTTTATGTTTGAAGCCTGAAATGTGAAAAAAGGTTGAAAAGTTCAAGGGGGCCGAATACTTCCGCAAGGCACTGTAATGCGTGGATCTTCTTGTACGCATGCAAATCGTGTCCGCTCGTGCGACTACGGTACTTTTGAGACTCATGTATCTTCATACCTAAGGACCAGGCTTGAACAGCCCCTTTGCCTGCTGTGTTTTAATTCCTGCTTCTGAGGTTTGTCGTCGTGTTTCTTTCTCTTCAGGTGGAGCAACTGTACTTACTGAGCCTCTGCTCCAAAGAGGACTGCTTCAAGATCCTCTCCAGGCACCAGTGGGACCTGCAGCAGGCCAGCCGCTACCTGATCCGAATGACCCGAGAAGAAAGAGCCGGCCCCAGCGAAAGACCTCAAATTAGCGCAGAGAGACGAGTCTGAGGAGATTTTTTTTTTTTTTTTTTTTTTTTAAAGCTAGGTTTGCTCTTTTCCAATGCGGGATGCTCAACGGTTTTTAAGCAACATCCCACCTTGCAGTGACGCAGCCCAACACCTGGAGCCTTCTAATGCAACCTCTTCCATAGGAGAGCCGTTTAAATACAGCAAAGACTAAAAAAAATGAAGGAATGTGAACTTTTTTTAAATACAGGATTTAGCAAAGACTATTAAAAAAGCCCATAACTGGTTTTTTTTATATATATATTTCTCAGTGTCTTTATTCAGCATGTTTTTTAATGTCATGTTTTATGTGTAATTAGAAATGGATCTGTTGAATAAACTCGAACGTTTAGCCTGATGCGACCTGCTCCGTTGCTTTTTTCCACTGGAAAATTGTGCTAAACAATCAAAACATCAAAGTTCCTGCTCAACAATCGAAGTTAAAAATCCAACAAAGTTAAGTCATGTCCTCTGGATGTTTTTTTTTTTAACGTTTATTCGTCCTTCATCCAAAGGACTTCATCAGTCCAATGAGCCACAACTAACTTGGTCCCACAAGCAGCACACTCGCATAGTGGGTCAACTGGTTTGATGCTGATAAGATGGTTTCTGGAGTCGACCCTCTCCCCTGTCGACTCCTCTGAGGCAGCCATGGCCAAAGTAGTTCAGAACAGAGTTCTAAACGATGCATTTTTGTAAAATCTGAACAGTCTGGCAGACTTAATGGGGTTGTGTGAAGTAATTCTCAGCAGTGAGTATCTCACCTGCAGTAGACGGCAGCTAAAACGATCTCAGTTTGAAAAATCAGAGAGAAATTCTCATGGAGGAGTCAAACCAACAGGCAGTGCAGTTTGTAGAGCTGCCGTCTCTCAGCGAGAAGGTTGCCTGATTGAATCCCTGTCGCGGTGGACCTCCACTCCAGGTGGAGTTTGCATGTCATCTCCATGCATGCATGGGTTTTCTCCAGGTACTCTGATTTCCTCCCACAGACCAAAAACATGTTTTTGTCATGTTGGGTTAACCGGTAACTCTAAATTGTCCCTAGGTGTAAATGTCTCTGTCCCTGTAATGGACTGGAGACCTGTTTGTGTCCCCCGCCTCTCACACAGTGATAGCTGGATTTGGGCACCAGTGACCCCCATGACCTGAAAAGGACAAAGCAGGTAAAGATGATGGACTAAAGCTAAGATTTAATACGAAGCTCAGATGAATTTACAGCTTATAAGATAAACTTTCTCTTGATTCATGAGCTCAAAAAAACTTTCACGTCTTTTTTTTTTTTTAAGTCAAGAAAATTTGTTACTGTGCTCATCCATCATCTTCCACTTGTTCTGGAGTCGGATTGGGGTCAGCAGCTTGAGCAGGGAGGTCCAGACATCTTTCCACAGCTTCTTCTGGGACGACTCCAAGGTGTTCTCAAACCAGCAGAGACAAAAGCTGCTTTGCCATAGATATTTACGACTCGAGTCGGTTCTCCGGTAGGTGTAGGTGAACACCCACTGGGACTTGTGTCCCGCTCTGTGGAAGGGACCATCACTGCAAAGTGGGCAGTATCGCAACAGCTGTCTCTGAGTCCTCTGATGCGCCAACACAGAAAGGTCTGGACCTCGTCGGTGGTTTACGAAAATACGTTTGCAGCTTCCATTACCGAACTCTAGAAAAACATACAAACCCACACTCTTCACATGTCGGAGAGGAAGTGGAGGTTCAGATGTGGTTTGCAGTTTTACTGGGCGGGTCATCCAGTGACGTAGCTACACTGGTCAGTCAACAGCTGCTGTCTGCTTACGTCAACATCGTCACTTCGGAGCCGTCCGCTTGGAACCACAAACGAGGTGGTCCCATAAACTGGGCTGAGTGGGGGTGAGTACTGGCAGTGGACGGGCTGGCACTTAACTGGTGCGGAACCAATGATTTTAGACTGGGTTAGCGCCAAGTCGCTTCAGTGATTGGGGTGGCTGTGGCTGAGTGGTTAGAGCAGTCGTCCTCCAATGCAAGAGCTGGGGGTTCGATTCCACCATCAGTCACATTCCGAAGTGTCCCTGGGCAAGACACTGAACCTCTGCCTCTGATGTGTGTCCCATCAGTGTATGAATGTGATAAAGCTCTGATTATTCTTTGTATACAGTGAGGAAAATAAGTATTTGAACACCCTGCGACTTTGCAAGTTCTCCCACTTAGAAATCATGGAGGGGTCTGAAATTTTCATCTTAGGTGCATGTCCACTCTGAGAGACAATCTAAAACAAAAATGTTTTATCCAGAAATCACAATGTAAGATTTTTTAAAATAATTTATTAGAAAGAGAAGAAAGAAGAATAAATAAATAATAAAAAAGAAGAAGATAAGACGAGAGACCACCATGACAAAACAACATGCACAGCACAATGCCACCCACAATATCACCATGAAACATTCGACATCGCACAATGAATCATCTAGCTTCCGCCACTACCCAACCTAGCGTGCATCTGTCAAAGCACCTGAATCCAAACACCCGCGCAAGCACGCCCACCACCACCAGATTTCTCCAAAAGAATGCCCAATAGTGGACGCGGGGGCCCACAGACCCGCCCCCCCAGGACACAATGGCAACATAGGGAGGACCGGAGCCACAGACACACAGCGGCCCACAGGCCCGGAGCCCCAAGAGTCTCCCAACAGGGAGAACCGCACCCCCCCAGAGAGGAGCAGAGGAAAGAACCGGGTGACCCCAGCCACCACAATGCAGAGCCTCCAGGAAGCTGCAACGACGAGCCCACAGGCCCGGCCAGCGACCCATGCCCCCCCCAAGTAGATCCGGCCATGGACACCGAGCCCCAAGCCCCGAGGCCATACCACCCCCTAGCAGAGCCCCGACAGAGCCAGGGCACCCAGGCCCCGCCAGGCAGCAACCAGGGCGGACCGACGTGCACCCCACCACCCAGCCCAGACACCGAGAGCCACCAATGCACCGGCGGCAAGGGAGTCCCCCGCCAAAGGGGGGCACGACCGGGGGGAGTGGACCCCACACCAAACGTGGGGCCCAAATTGATCCAAGAGAGGGGGGACCACCAAAAACCCAACCCGAGCAACCAACAGGCACACACAGATAGCCCGACAGAATCTCTGTCGGGCCGACCGCATGCACCATCTACCTGACAGCGACCACAGGCCGGCCCCAGCCCAAGGGGCAGAGCAGCAGGGAGCCGCAGCCGAGGAGGGCCGGCTCTCACATCAAGAGCTCCGCACCATAGGCCCGGAGACGCCCCAGCACGCCACCCATGCACCCCCCCACACACAGAGCACCCCCACCGCAAATGCCACACAGGAAGACCAGCCAGTGCCCGGATGAGACGAAGCCACGCCCCCAACCGCCGCCCTACACCACCAATGACCACACGTACACTACCATAGCCGACCCCCCGCCAAAAGCCGGCAGCCACCCCGGTCAGAGTGCCGTCCATCGCAACCAGGAACCTAGATTAAAAGAATCGGAACAGCCCAGGAGGAACCGAGGAACTTCTCTTTCTTTAAAAAAAAATAATAACAAAAAAAAAAAAAAAAAAAAAAAAAAAAATTGAGCGATGATGATAAGTTCATTGAAACACTTCACAATGTTTCTACACTTAAACTGAGCTCATAAAAAAAAAAAAAAAAAAAAAAAAATTATTAGTGTGTTACTGCTGCAAATAAGTATTTGAACACCTGTGAAAATCAATGTTAATATTTGGTACAGTATCTTTGTTTGCAGTTACAGAGGTCAAAGGTTTCCTGTAGTTTTTCACCAGGTTCACTGCAGCAGAGATTTTGACTCATTCCTCCACACACATCTTCTCTAGATCAACCAAGTTTCTGGGCTGTCGCTGAGAAACACGGAGTTTGAGCTCCCTTCAAAGATTTTCTATAGGGTTCAGGTCTGGAGACTGGCTAGGCCACTCCAGAACCTTGATATGCTTCTTACGGAGCCACTCCTTGGTTCTCCTGGCTGTGTGCTTCGGGTCATAGTCATGTTGGAAGACCCAGCCACGACCCATCTTCAATGCTCTGACTGAGGGAAGGAGGTTGTTCCCCAAAATCTCACAATCCATGGCCCCGGTCATCCTCTCCTTAATACAGTGCAGTCGTCCTGTCCCATGTGCAGAAAAACACCCCCAAAGCATGATGCTTCCACCCCCATGCTTCACAGTACGGATGGTGTTTTTTGGGATGGTATTCATCATTCTTCGTCCTCCAAACACAGTGAGTAGAGTTAAGACCAAAAAGTTCTGTTTTGGTTTCATCTGACCACAGAACTTTCTCCTCTGGATCATCCTAATGGTCATGGACAAACTTAAGACGGGCCTAGACGTGTGCTGATTTAAGCAGGGGAACCTTCCGTGCCATGCATGATCTTAAACTATGACGTGGATCATTGATACGCCACGAGGTGAGATCTTGCATGGAGCCCCAGTCCGAGGGAGATTGACAGTCATGTTTAGATTCTTCCATTTTCTAATAATTGCTCCAACAGTTGATCTTTTGTCACCAAGCTGCTTGGCAGTTGCCCCATAGTCCTTTCCAGCCTTGTGGAGGTCTACAATTTTGTCTCTGTCTTCTTTGGACAGCTCTTTGGTCTTTGACATGTTAGTAGTTGGAGTCTTACTGATTGTGTGGGGTGGACAGGTGTCTTTATGCAGCTAACCACCTCAAACAGGTGCTTCTAATTTAGAATAATAAGTGGATTGGAGGTGGACTTTTAGAGGCGGACTAACAGGTCTTTGAGGGCCAGAATTGTTGCTGATTGACAGGTGTTCAAATACTTGTTTGTAGCAGTAACACACAAACAAATTATTAAAAAATCTTACATTGTGATTTCCGGATTTTTTTTTTTTTTTTTTAGATTATGTCTCTCACAGTGGACATGCACCTAAGATGAAAATTTCAGACCCCTCCATGATTTCTAAGTGGAAGAACTTGCAAAGTCGCAGGGTGTTCAAATACTTATATTCCTCACTGTAGATCTAGTAGAGTGCTGTATGAAAGGGTAAATGAGGGCACAGTTAGTGTAAAGTGCTTTGAGTGGCTTGAACAGATAGAAAAGCACTAAATAATTGCAGTCCATTTACCATCTTGTGTGTCCTGGGTCTTCCCCACGGTCTCCTCCAAGTTGGACATGTCTAGAAAATCGGCCTAAATAGACGTCCTGAACCAGCTGGAGCAGTAGTGTAGTCTACATTTTTGTAGTGGGTATACTGCGCTTAGAAACCAAAGTACACCAGTCGGTACAGTGTAATCGTTAATTTATTTTTGACTTTTAAGCACATTGAACATTTCAAAATTTCTCTGATGCTTATATTTGAAAAAATGAACAACAAACTTTGTACTTTGTATTAAAAACGTGTTATAAAATTTATGAAACGGTATCAAAGCAAAACATGTTCAAGTATAAAGTAGTACAGAAATATTAATTATACAAAAAACAGGTTGAACCAACTCAGTGCGTCTATAAAATGTTCCAAATGTGTTGACAATGACACGAGCCCATGTCACGTATCATGATACGTGACATGGGCTCGTGTCATTGGGCACTTAAGTGTGTATACTGAAAATCCCAAGCTTTTTTAGTGTGTATACTCCGTACGCTTGCGTATCACATGAACTACACCACTGAACTGGAGCTAAGCTCTAATTGAACTTTTCACCCCATCTCTAAGGGAGAGTCCAGCTTCCCTGTGAAGAAAACTAGTTTCCTTGTTTCTGCGATCGCGTTCCTTCGGTCACTACCCAGAGTTAGTGAGGGCAGGAATGTAGACCAACCGGTAAATAGAGCTCATCGCCTTGCAGCTCACCTCATTCTTCACCAGTGTTGGATATTTTGCTACATATTCTTCTCAGTCCTAGAACAGAACTCCAAATGTTTGAGCCTTTACCTTTTCATCTGCTGCATTTTGTTTTTATTGAACGGTTTATTTTTCATGTGAAACCTCCCATTCACATAGACAAGTCGACAGAAACCCCTTACCCGAAGAAACATTTCGTCTCAACGAGACTTTCCCCGACTAAACATGAGGCCGATGAGTTTATAAGTCTTGTCGAGGTAAAGCAGACCAACAGTTAGCCGTCGTCGACCCAGGGCTTAATGTGATCCGGATCCTGCCAGAACAGGATGCGGGAACTCTCTTTTTGACAAGATGCGTTCCAGTATCGATTTGCTTGGATCCAGTAACTCTCAGTCTTACTGATAATAAAGTTATGAACAAATGTGACTGCCTTGAACGAATAAAACTTATACTGGATATGTAAACAGAAAATAACTATATAAACACTCGTTTTAAACACAACAGCCACTACGAGCTGCCGCTTCAAGTAGAATTTCCGCGTCTACCCTTAAAAAAAAAAAATCTCCGCCCCTAAAAGAGCGGTGGGAGTGAGTACCGAGTTAACCAGGCAGCCGTACGTGGGCAGGAGTCCACAAGCAGCCGCCATGAACAGACGGAGGCGCCTGGAGGTTTCACATGTGGAGTCGGACAACGAGCAGGGACAGTGTCGGGCTTGGAACCGTCAAGCAACGGGGAGGGGGATAGGATCTTGACAGAAGCGGAGTGTTTACAAATGTAGGTAAACGTAGATGTTTACCAACCTGTTAAAAGACAACAAAATACAAGAAATAGCATCTATTTATTCAAAATATTCTGGGGGAGGCCGCCCAGACCCCCTCGACCCACCCACTATTTGCATTCCAGCGTCAGTCGGTTTACAAATTAAGCACTGCGTCAACCTCTGTTGCTAGAGCTCATTCTGACTTTGGACCCATTTTGCTCCAAAAAAGGAGGAGAGCTGGAGTTTTCCATCATAAACGAAGTGAAACCAGATGTTCCCTGAATCTTGCACAAACCAGAAGAGCAGACAGACACAAGATGAGGTTTAACGTGACATAGGTTTTATTCCTGAAATACATTTGTTTCTGTAAAAAAAAAAAAAAAGTACAATAGTAGAAAGTGATTACTGCATGTGTTTAATGAAAGTGATAAAAACATCTTTGGCTTCTATTGTTTATGGAGGTCACTGGTCAAAGGCAAACGCAAGAAAACACGTCTAGTGGCAAAGGCGACCATTTTATCTCAACAACAAAAACAAGAATCTGTATTAAAGTTCCAACCTGACGTTTTCAGAACATCGTAAACCACAGCTCAGTGTTCACATTTCGGTTTAAACCTCTGAGGTCACAAACCTCAACTTCTGCTTTAAAAAAAAAAAAAAAAAAAAAACTTTGCATTTCCTGTATGGACACAGTGCTCTTAACTTTCATTTCCGTGACCTCCCACAGTCACACCATCAAACATCCTCAAACTGGCCTCTATTCAAATAACATCGAGCTGTCAGGGGGCGATAACAAAAACTAAATAATGGCGAGGTTTAGCTCCGGGAGCGGCGTCCATGGCAACAGTTGTATCACCACAGTTTGGTCTCTGTGTCAGTTTTGCTGGCGGACCAGCGGCAGCTTCATGTTAAGGCAGCAGAGTGACGGAGAAATAGAGCGGTTTAGGAAGTAGCGGTTAGGAAGTAGCGGTTAGGAAGTAGCGGTTAGG